CTTCTGGCGGGGCTGGCTCCAGGCAAAGCTCTCCCCTGCCTGCTGGCACCCCTGGGTACCCAGGCTTTTGGGAAGGTGTTCTGACCCCCGCACCGTTGGTGCTCCCAGCCCACCCAGCACTCTCTTCCTCCACTCTCCGACCTGAGAGAGGCTGAAACTGCTACCTTTCCACAAAAGAAATGTGGAAATAACCCTGACCAATTCTCCTTGCAGCTCGAACACTGAGAAACTAAAAGGAACTAAAAAATCAGCTTATTTGATTTTTGCTGTTCAAACTGAAAGAGATGCAAAAAAGCGAATAACCAACTCAACTAGTGGGGAGCAGGCAGGATCTTTAAAATTCTCAACTTTAGGCTACCACATCTGGTATATTAAACCTGACACTGTCCCTGTAGTAAAGCAGTTTCCTTTTAATCTTTCTTTAGAAAAAACAACAGAACAGCAAATTAAACACAATCCTCTCCTCAATTCTCAATGCCATGCTATTTCAGTGTTGATGAATCAGGTCATGTAATAATAAAATTCCTGCAGAAATATGATCTTAACTGTGTAGCTTTCAAATTGCAGTTATGCTGCTGTATGCATTAAATACTGTACTTGACATTCCCCTTTTCCATTTCACTTCTGGATGACATTAGGATCTGCAACAAGGACCTCCTTCAGCTCTCCCAGGTTACCATTTATTTTAAGTATCCCCAAGGTTTCCAGCACGGTTTAGATCAAACTTGCAAAAATCACTAGTACTGGCGGTTTTTGCGAGTCCCTGGAGTTATTTCTGAAAACAGGTTCCATTGTGTTCATATTACGCTTTTAAATTTTATAGCTCATTTTTAAATTACATGTTAATTTCTAAAAATGTTAAATTGCGAGGAGAAGTTGGCAAGGACCACACAAAATCACAGCAGTGTTCTGCAGTTTGAGTGTGTTGCCCCGTAGTACTTATGTGCACAGCCATACCCTTACATTTAAGTGCTCTGTATGAATGTGGGCCTGATCCTGCGGTGTGCTGAGGGTCTCATCAGAGGTGCTCGGTGCACTACAATAAACAACCCAGGATCATGCTTAGTAAATCACAGATTTTGCAGGATCCAAATGAAAGAAAGGGAGGAAGGTGAGAGGAAAGAAAAAGGCAGTAGTAATGAAAACATCAGAAACACAGCACACTTCTGAGTGTATCTAAAAATAGAGATAAAAAATCTTTGAAAATAAACCAGTCATTCAAGAGGCTTTTTAAAAAGCCACCCTCCTTTCCAGGCCTGCAAGTCTTTAGTTTCCTCACTATTTTTACTTGCTCTGGCTTTTCTACTGTGCTACGTAACACAGAAAGTGAAATCAATGAAAATCTGCCTACAAAAAAAGTTAGTAAACTCCCTGTTCTGCCATTTCATCTTTCTCATTTTAATTTTTGCTTTCGTTCATCAAATGCAGCTGACCAGACAGCAATACCCCAGAAAGTTGGGATTTTTCATTTCCTTGCGCTGTAACGATGCAGAACATTTTGTCCCTGCAGGTGACCGACGATAGGGTGCTCAGAGAGCAGTGCAGCACGGTTACAGAAAAAGTCAGCATTTTAGTAATCCGTAAACCAAAGACCGATGTTGCCATTTTAGATTTAGGTCCAGCCTCACTACAAAAATTATTAGCTCTTTTTCTTATAGATTTCTGGAGTGCTTGTTGCAGTCAGACTCTTGTTTCTGCATGCGTTTGTACAACAAATACAGATAGGCAAGTCTGGTTTTAGTTACTCCTGTCACACAGCGAACCTGCTGTGAATGACAGCATGCCAAGGAGTTAATGAAAACTTGTTCTCCAACACAGATTTTTAACTAAACAAAAACATTGAACCAAGACTTTCAGTAGTCAGTTTAAGACACATATTTGACCAATTACATATATTTATATATGATACCTGCACTAGGATTAATCCGAACTGAAATTTTCTGCCTTAAGTGAACACATTCGCATATGTCACATTATATACATAAACGTATCAGCTTACGACAGAAACACTTACATATGTGACATATCCACGTATAGTTGCACTCTCTCCTGGCTGCCTGCATTGGGGCTTCCCAGCTCCCCAAGCCACGCAGCCGGAGCGGGCTGGAGCAGCGTCGGCACCGCACCTGACGGGGACCCAGCTCGAGGTTTGCTGCTCCCACCCCAGCACTAAAGCCACTTCCCGCAACCTCACCATAATCCCACAGAGGTATAAAGCGAGGCCGCTCTCCCAACAGTTGGTTATACAGCCTGTCCTTCACCTTTACACTGGACTTCCCAGTTCTGTATTCTAGAGCAGCGTATGGTCCCGTGTTTATAAGCATGCTGATACCTGAAATGGGAAACAGCCATTTTCCTTATAAATATTGAACTGAAATTTCCTTTTTATGTCATGGTCATCATCATTTGTCATAATCATGTGTACCCTGTTAATTTGGGGCAGGCTGTTGAGACGCACATGGCCACACTGACCCCGGGCACTGGGTGAGTGAAGCCGCTCCGGACACACTGATGTACCTGAAATCAGGGTCTGACCCATAACATGAACCAGACGTGGTGAGTAAGCTTTCTACTCATGATCTACTATGAAAAGCTGCTTTTCCAGGGTAGCACAATAAAGAATTTGCTTCAACACCAATAACTGCCTGCTCTTAGAAACACAGCAACCTTGCCAAACCTTTCTCAAAGATAAAACGTCAATCAGTTTTCACTCTGTGCTTTTTGAAATAGTAAAAATACTGTCATAAGTTAAAGCACCTAATAGGGACTTCACAATTCTGTTTCCAACCCTTCGTGTTAAAAATAAGCTGTTTCACTTAAAAAAAACACAGTGCTTTATTAGTGATATGTCACTTAAAAATATACTTGCTGCTTGCAAGAAGGTATGAGTGGTACAGTCAACCATACACTGTTATTTTGCTTAACCAAAATGCATTGCATATTTTTGAGAACACAGATACAGGTCTGCTACACGACTGCACTGAGAACTGCCATCCCAGGTATCCGAATTACAGAAAAAAAACCCCAAATAAAAAAATAAAGCATCCTTATTTATCTCTTCCTATCTAACAATCATTTGGATAATTTAATCTGTTTGTAAGTAAATCTCATGAATGGATGATAACTTGAAAACATCTGCTTTGTTCGTGAAGGGCTTGATTCCTGCATGTTACAGCATCATCAGAAAATCACTAATGGGACTGGAATCTTGTAGCTGAAAAAAGCCTATTTGTCCCTATTATTTCCTGAATGTACACACATATATAGGAAGGATATACCAAATTATATCATGTGTGCACATGATCCTTTTCTCTCTATTGGCAAGGCTACTACTTGTCTGCTTTAGAAGTGTAAAGAGAATAAAACCATATCCTGAGAGCTGCTGGTGTGTTCTCATCAAAGCCCATAACACTTTGAAACATTAACAAAGATATTTAAGAACTGACTTAAATACAATCTCAAGAAGAGGTCCAAGAATGTCAGTTACGAACCTTAAGAACAAATATTCTGGTTTTCAGTCATTCCAGCCCAGCTTGTGAACTCACACAGTTACAGCAAGCCTGTCTCAGCCTTCTCATTAAAGACTGCATTTTTCAGTGCAGCTTGAAACTTGGCAAGAAGAACTTAATGCAGTAGCAAATTTATTACAATTATTTAAAAGTAATTTTGTCCATTTTTAAGTTACAGCATAGAAGTACAGGAAAACAGAAGTTTACAAATCTGAGCTGCTGCATCTGTTCTCGAGTAACTTTTCACTTAAAAATAAAACTTGGCAGACAAACCGCCCATAATGTGGACCAAATGCATTTGGTATGTCAAAAAAAAAGCGGAGAGAGTTAATTTTGAAACTTATTCATCCTGCATGCACTATTCTTGCTCCCCATGAGATCACATTTCTCTATGGGGCCCCCCACTCTCCTCTTGATCATCTCCTGACAACCTGCATGCATCAACGTTCTTCTATCCCCACCAGAGAATTCAGCCTCCTGAAACCCTTCTGGCCACACCACAGGTAAAAAAAAAAAAAAAAATCACATGAAATGCGTCAGGAAAGAGAGGCAAAGGCTGCAAACTCGAGAGGCTGCAAAGGCAAGGGGCACCCGAACCTGCCTGCCAGGGAAGCGGAGGGCAACCAAGTACAACATCTAAATCTATACTAGCGTTAGTGCAAAGCCCCTCCAGTACTTTTCATCAGTATTTATCCATCCCAAAAGCAGTGCTGCCTGCAGGGTGGTCCTTGGCAGAATAAGCCCCTGAGAAAGGCCCTGGGACAACAGGAAGAGCTGCTGCAATGGGTGGAAACCCTGAGACGCTGGCGGAGACCTCCAGAGCCTGGGATGCAAAACTTTTTTTTTTTCAGAGATGAGGGGACAGCCTTTGCCTTATCTAGAAGATACACAAAGAAACACACAACAAGTTTCACAGGAAGAGCCTTACAGCCCTCTCTGCCCCACTGAGATCTGAGCAGGTCCTGAATCTTGCCTTGATTTACAGCAATTCACTGGCACAAACCAGGCAGTCCCATGTGCCTTTCTCTGACTGGTAACAGAGCTGGTGATATAAATTATGATTCTATGTTTTTTATTGGTAAGATTAAAATAATAAATTATGTGTAACACTTCAAAGTAACATTAAGCCAAGGTATTCAATGGCCAAGACTGTGGCCCCTTAGTGCAGTGCACTGTGTCTGGAGAGCCACACAGAAATTGGCCTAAACTAAACCATGTATTCCCAAAAGATGCATGAGCACCAAAGGGCCACACACCAGAGAAGGCACTCTGAGGATAGGAAAGATGCTGTACAACAGAGGAAAGTGTCCACATGCACTCCATTGTGGGGCATATGGTTCACGTTAGTGCCACAAACAGCCACCCTTAAATTTCAGAGCCTACCTCTTCCTCACAGCTGGGAGTTATCCACTCTTATAAAGGGTGACACTCATTCCAGGTGACACTATGCACCAAAGCTGTGTCAGAAATAATGCAGAAAGAATCCCTTACCTGTCCGGTAGACAAAATTGCCTTCTGGCTCTGATGATGACGGAGACACCAATTCTTCCTCAAATTCATTGGAACTAAACGAACCAGAGTGATTCCTTTGCCTTGTTTTTTCCATCATAGCTGCATTAGTAGCCATGACATGTCTCAATGAGTCATTTAGGTAACGATTCAATAAACTGCTTTTGTACTTGGGGGGTGACACATAATCCTCATTGGCACTTGTTTCTGGTCTCACTCCTGTTTTTATTACTGAACTTTCAGTTTTAATCACAGTGTGATGAACTGGTTTGTTATATCCCCCTTCATTCATATGGTTTCTTGGAGGATTTTCTCCATCTGAAAACAAAAGAATACAGATACAGTAATAAAACAAATACCTAATACTCAACAAGAGGCTTTCTCTACATGTTTTAAATTGCTGTAAATACAGCTAAAACTAGACAACTTTTAGAGTCTAGCATTAGACAATGATTTTTATTTTCTTCTGTTCACACATTGCTCATGGTAGTTCCCAGAGTTCTCAGATGTTCCAGCTACCCCAAATTAACTAACTGTAGAAAACAGTCGAGTGTAATTTGTTCATGAGCAATGCAAGGCAGGTAGAAAAAAAACTGAGAAGTGCCATAAATCAATGATAAACATTTAAAAATGTGTGTGAATACACTGAATTCTTAGTATCGTAACTTGAAATTTGGTTCTCCTGAATACTACAGTATATCTAAGCTTATTTGCTTAAATTCTACTTGTTTAATTGTCCTGCAACCAATCTTCTAAAGGGAAGTGCATACCAAATAAATGTGAGTACAAACTGAAATTGGAACAAAAAGAACTGAAACTGAGTACAAATTGAAACATATTCTTCTAAAAATCCACAGATTTCTGCCAATGTTCTGTAGTATTTGTTCCTGTCAATGTATGTCCATGTCATAACTGACTAAAAAAAAACTGCCCACAGACATAATTAATACAAACATTCTATTAAAAAAATATAGGGCGCTATTTAAAAAATTCTACATTTGTTAATTTGGATATGGAAGAGAATTTCAGTGCACCTTTTAAGGAAAACATTTGCTGGTAATATACATAAAATAAATGACAGTAGTATTCAGTTTACCATATAATAAGCCCTACTGAAGTTAATCAGATTTTCTTGTTAATCAGATTCTCTTGTGTATTATGTGATACTGCTATAGCCCTTCCATCAAGGAAAGTAACAGTCAAGAGATCTCTCATTTACCTAAACTAACATATGTAATCAATTTTTTCCTTTACTGCAGATTAAAGGAATAGGCTTGTAGAATTCAATAAACTAACAACCATCTTTCCAGTAACAATGCTATATGAAACATGCAAATAACATGCAACCAGACTGTTACCCCAATTAACCTACACAACCCCGCTTTGCAAGGCTGAATAGTAGCTGGGAGCCAAACATGGCACCTAATTCACAAAAAGTGAAGGCAGATCCACTGAGGGAGTTTTGTGAGAAATCAGAGCTAACTTAGGGCACCTGATACTGCCTAAATAAATTTTAATAGGTTTAAAACTGATAAAAAGAGCATCAACAAACCTTCAGAGCATGAGTCATCGCTGCTCACGCTGAGTCGTTCAGCATTTCCTTGAACATATTTGTTGTACAGTTTTATTCGTAAAGCCCAGCTAAGATCTGGTTGCCTGACAGTATTCTTCAGGCGACGTCTTGCATTGGCAAACCAGTTTGATACCTGTGTACAAATGAATGTATTAGTTTCTCTTGAAAAAAAAAAAGCCCAACTTCTCCTTTGTGCTTTATCAGTACTCTAAGCCTAACAGGCAGCGGGTATCGGGAAAGTCTCACTCAGAATGTAACGCACTGGGAGTCACTGCAGAAATCAACTTGCTCATACTTGCTCTACAGAGCAGCAGCTTTTATGAACTCTTTCTGTTATGGAAACCTTAAAAACCAGTGAAGATGCATATTCCTCACAAGGTGATGACTGAACAAGAGACTGGCTTGTCTTCCTTCTCAGCTGCAGAGCATTCTTAGAGTTGGACACTGCAAAGCAGAAACATGTTAGTACCCTTTTAGCATGCAGGGTCACCACAAAGTCAGCCTCAAACACAAGCATATCACAGTGCTTTAGGCACCAAAGGAGCAAAAGGGCATGGTACAGTCTTCTGTGCCAGCAGATCTATCAAACCACCAAATGCGATGCATGTACTTGCAGTAACTTTGCACAAAAGCATACCTGAGAAAATGCTGGCCTTGACTCTACTGTAACTTAAAAATATGTAAAATAGGAAATACTGATACTGACAGAGTGACCTTACCATAACCTTACTATGAGCAAGAGCGGAGGCAAGCTACCTACACTCTAACAATATTTGTTTAATGATAAGTCAGGTCTTAAAAATGCTATTTACTCCTTGCAGGAATAAGTGCATTTTGACATGACCTCTGCAAAAAAAGGCAGTGCAGCATTACTTGCAAAGGAGAATGTAAAGAATGTTGGAGTCTACGGCCCCACTCACATCTTTGTGTGGTGAAAGTGCATGCAGAGAAAGCCAGAGACTGCTGCAGTCATATTCTGACCTGGGAATGATCATAACATTTATGTTAACCTGCAAAGCAAGTTAAAATGTTTTATCAATACATGCTACCCCACCTACCAGAGATCTGAACTGTAGACCTCAGTGTTGGATTTTGGCCCTAGTTTTGTCATCTGTCTATTTTAGCTAAGGCTGTATAAATTGCATAGAAGTATTTAGGCAATTACTCTGGATCGATAATCTTTTCTAGGGTGATTATGAGAAAAATAAACACTATCTGCTCAAAGGAAAAACAAAACTTAGTTCAGAGTCCCACCCAGAACTTAGCAGTGGCGCCTTAAGCCTGTCACTTTGATTTTACTTAAAATCATGTTTACATAAAACAGGGTTCTACTGAAAACAGAGTGAGCCCTGGATCAGCGCTCAGATGCCAAACACATAACTTTACAAAACATGTAGTTTAGTGTGACAGGTTAGGAGACCAAAACTGTAGCTGGCAGAGAAGAATAAGTAATTTCAACTCTCTTTCAAGGCTACTTGCTTATATTCATCATATTGACACAGCAATCATTACAGTAAACCAGAAAGGGTGGGTTGGAATCCATCCACTTTGTAATGCTGTTAACAAACTCACTCCAGACTGCTCAGCTAAAGCAGCAATCACCTGGCTGCTGCATGATTTAGGATAACTCTGAAATCCAGTATGTAACGCTTGAGATGAATCCATCCAGAGTTCCACTGAATGTTACCACAGTTACTGCAGCATCTTACAAAACTTTCATGAGTTTTCCAACCTCTCATGAGAAAGATTTCATTATGCTCCATTTCATTACATATTGAAATATTTCATCAGTGAAGTGCCACGCACAGAAAAGAAAGATAGGGTAGTATTAGTGTGACTCATACATAAAAGCAATTAAATTTAGCAGAGTGATTTTTGCATGGTACTCTTGGTTTATTTTGGGCTCATTCTTCCCATGCCAATGCTTTGCTTTCTGCATATCAATATGAAAAGATGAGTCATATTTTAAGTCTTCTGCTATGAGAGGAGGAAATAGTAGTATTTGATCATTATGAAAGAACCTGAAGTCAGCATTTACAAGAGCAGCTTTCTGCTAAAGCACAAAGCAGCAACTCCAGAAACTGTTATCCCAAATGCAATTACAACAAGGCCCATTAAAGCTGAAGGAAAGTTAGGCAAATCCACTTAAGAGATTTTCAGTCTAGCTCTGTGGTGCGGTATCGCTGTGTGCTTTCCTGCTCTTGAGCACTGCTGTACATTGCTGGAAAATCCTAATCTCTAAGACATCAAGAGATTCAACTTCTCTCCCACTCTTAAGTCCTGGACAATCTCCAGGTGTGTGGACTGGAAGAGGCTGCATGGCCACAGGCTGTACTGGACCGCACGCCCACCCCAAACTCCAACCACTGCCTGGGTCCTTACAGCCTGTTCCTGGCTTCTTTAAAGCCAAGGACAGCTTTGTAACTAACTTCATCCAGGCTCAAATGTTACCTTGTGTATCCACGTGGTCTTTAAAAAGTTGCATGCCTACTGCTGTAGGTTCCACTCCCTACAGTGCCTGTTTGCACCACACTTACCTAACCTATTACACAAAGAAACAACCTAAGCTGAAAAAATCCAGGTTTACGATGGCCCCAAGTTACACTATTGTGACCTCCAAAAATAATAAAAAACTCAAAATGATGATTTACATACAAGCCAGTGGGAAAATCTTTGTTGCAGAAACCTCCCAAAGAACTAAGTATCTTGTAAAAAAAAAAAAGAGCATGATGAAACTGACTATTCTTAAAGTAAAGTAACAATCATGTAGTTCTTCAAGAAATAAAAGGCAAAATACAAGAACGACAATAGATGTGCTTTCCAGCACTCGTATTTTACAGCAGCTCAGTCATTTCCAAAAAGCATCAGGTACTTATATTGGCATGATGAAATATTGACCCTTTGGCTTTGCTTCTGAAGAGACTCTTCAATTTTATTGTAATTTGTTCTGCTTCACTTCTTAAGAGTGGCCAAAGTTTGAGAAAGGGAACAGAAATCAAGCGATTCTCCTCCTTCAGTAATCCTTATACGCCTCTGTGAATCTGAATACTATTAAATCTATTGCAGTATATAACCAATATATTAATTATAGTATTGAAAAAAAATTATCTTCAACAATATGACCATTCATATTTCTTTCTGGAAGGAGCACACAGCCATTTTTCTTTTTTTTATTTCACAAGAATGCCTAAACCAAAATTTAAACTAAAATAAATCAAGAACTGTGGTAATAATACAAATGAAAATGTAGCATATTAATAGGACAAATTATTGGATTCTGAATTGGAATCTAATTGGAGTAAAACATAAAATGCCTTTTCAAACTATATTGCTTTTTTGGTTTCCTGCTCTGGCAGTTGAGGAAGTAGAAAACTTTGGACTCTTGGACTGAAAGCTGCAATAACATTTGCCTCAAGGACTCCCGAAGACCTTTTTGGCCTGCTCAGGAATAAGCCAGCCCAGAATTTGCCCGAGGATTTGCTACTATTTATTAAGGAACAAGATGGATTTATGATTCCTGCGAAATCCTACCTAGAGTTTGACTTTCCATCTGCAGCAGTCGGACACGGAGAGGCAACAGCCCCCCTTGCGTCCCACTGGGGCTAACAGAGGCTTAGTAGGGTGCTAAAGCCAAAGTAATAATAAAGTAGAAAAAAGTTAATTTAAAATTAGCCAACTTGGTGATAGCAAAACTAATTAAAATAAAATTGTGGAAGATCTGACATGCAAATATTGTCCTAATAATAACAACAGCAGAAAACAGGGCTGGATGTTCACCTCCTTTTCTCACAGAAGGACTGGTGTTATATATGCCATAGTCCTACAAAAGCTCTTTTAGATAGATGGTACATATTGGAATAAGGTTCACTAGATGAAAGCAAAGCAGGTGGAGAAGAGTTACAGCTCTATTATCAGTGTTATTGTGACAAAAATCATACTCCAGGCAGCTGCTGAAGACCTTTTCCAAGGTCAGCAGTCAGGTGAAAAACAAAAAAACCTCAACCTTTCATCCCCTAAATGGCATTTTGGCAGAAACCGAAGAGGGATTTTCAACAGTATCTTCGGTCTTCCCTAGGGCTTCCCAAGACAAGGCATCAGCACACAAGGGATGCCGAGCGGAGGTAATAGCTGTCAGCACAACAGCCTCCACAGGAATGAAAAAGTGTGGGGGCAAGAGCAAACACCATGGGATAGCACCAAGAAATGGAAGAAGAGCAGAAAATATGAGACAGGTAAGTGAACGTGAGGATGTGTAACTCAGAAAAAAACATCATACACTGATTCCTGGTTCTCTAACAACGTCTGGTGTTACTAAATTAGAAAAGCACTTGCAAGAGACCCTGGATGATGCTTTCGCAAAGTGTCCCTCCTGGGAGAGAAGCAAAGATTTCCAACAGATACTAAAGCCCAGTTCCAAGACCACTCTTGGTTAAGCCACCCAGCTGGAAGAGCATAGCCTTTGGGGAAGCTATTTCAGATGTACCCAGCATGACTGAGATCACAGCCTGGCGCTTTCTCTCTCACTCTGAGAGAACAAGAATTTTGATATGGATGACAGTCTTGTTCTTCCTGGGCATCTGAAAAGTAGATGTGGGGCGTGTGTTGTTTTGTTCTTCCAGGCTGAGGAACTGCTGCTGGTGCCAGACATATGTATTTACCTCTCGTACTGATGCTATCATACTCATGGATTAAAAGAGCATTGCACCCAAATGATGGAAGAAACATCTGGGGTTTCTTTTTGATGGTGTGCTTCTGTAAATGAAAATGTGCTGTTTCCACAACTCTTTCAAATATTACAGTTCATAAAAATAATGCTGGTCGAATTCAGCTTCGGGGAAAACCCACTGTACTCACAGGAGTCTAACAAAGATACATATAGCCCTCCATCGTTCTTTTTAATTTTATTCTACACCTTATGTAGATTGCAAAGCTCTCTGGAGTAGCAGCCATAGCTCACTCGATGCTTTTACAGAGGCTAACACAGCATATCACCATCAGGATTTATCAAAGCTGCCACAAGAGAAATACTCCAAAAACCCACCACTTTTTTCCCTTGTCTGTTCATTCCATGGCATTTATAAAAGAACAGAAGAACTCCTCAAGATGTCATTAATGTGAAAGTCTCCTAATGTGTATTCTGGATGTATGTTTTAAATCTCATGTAAAAATACAGGAATATTCTAAAAGCCATAGTCCAATAAATGACTCCGACTGAATTGTGGCATTGAATGGAAAGTGTTTATGTAATCATATTTCTAAGTCTGAGCAAATCTTTCACGCATATTTTTTTAAAAGCAAGAAAAGTTGGTTTAACTATAGCTTCCAGCTATAACTGGCATTTTCTAAGACAGTAATATTATTTTTGTCAAAGCTATAGTGTTTCTCCTAGTGCAATAGTTTCACAGTGAGGTACTAAAGTGTAAAAGTTTCCCATTTTGCTGTTACTAGGATTGAAGTTCATAGCACCAGCTTTTTTGAAGGAGTATTCGAAATAACAATGCTGAATTACCACCTTCTTTTTCTAAAACTTCATGTTATTTTGATATTTTCACATCCTTAGCAAAGTGACACATAATGTGTTAGGCAGAGCCCTGAGGACCTGATCCTGCAAACACATGTGTTTCATTTTATGCACCTAGCAGTAGCTTCTAGTAAGGAAATTAAATTATTCACAATGGATAAATCTTCACAGCATCCAGACCTGAGATTGCATCACTCAGCAACCGATAGCATTTAACCACATATTTAAAGGAGTGCCAGATGGCAAAGAGAACAAAGAAGTAAGATTTATAAACATTTGCAGACAACATTATACCTCTCACTGCAACACAACTGCCAGTCATTTCAGCGGAGTTTTACGTGCGAGCAAAACAATTACTCCCCATGTCTAATTGCACTATAATGGTAATTCCTGCAAGACTGTGAAGCAGAGTCACTGCATGCTGAGCTGCTGCACACAGTGTGTATGGTAACACTAATGGCTGTGCAACAGGTGATGATTATTAGCAGAACACTGTAACTGTTTCCATTCTAGCCCATTTTCAAAAAGGTAGTAATTATGGAGTAATGCCATACAACTTCCTTGACAATTCCTATTCTATGCTGAAATCTCCTATTACTGATTATTTTTTTACCTGAAGATTTTTAAAGACTAGGCAAAAAATATTTCCACTATACTTAAGAATGAAATTAAATGGCCTCTTTTCCTAGAAGGGAAAGCACACACCTTTTGCCGACTGCCTTTAGCACTTCCCCAGCCAGGACAGCCCAGATGTGAGAATTCCTGTTTGAAGGATACCGTCCTGCTAGAGAGGGAACCCTGGGGTGGTTGGAGGGAAGGACGAGCACAGGACAGGTGGAGGTAGGTGGTTCCTTACCTGCACCAGGGTCATCTGGGAGCCGAGGGCCAGCAGGATCTTCTCGGTCTTGGTGGGGTAGGGGTTGTCGCGGTGTTTGTAGAGCCACTGCTTGAGCGGCCGTGCCATGTCCTGCAGCGCCT